GTAACCCTAACTTTTGTAGGTGAGCTCACGGGGCTCAAACCTGATGACGTTGCTAACACGAACCCTAGCAAGAGCCGTGCTTCGCAGAATCTGCCACCGGATCGGAAACGCGACCCACTGAGAAGATCCGGCGAGAAACTCAGTGGGCTGTGTCTGAGAGTTAATTTACTCGTCGAGCCCTTCGTCGCAAGCGACGGGTTCGACGAGAACGGTGACCGGTGCTTGAAGTACCTAAAAGCACCGTTAGTGGATCGGGAGGATCCGAGATGACGTGTTTTGGGCGACGTCGACTGCTTTCCATTCTGTCCGCAGGATCGGGAATGTAGTTACCGGCGGCCACGATGAGAGGGCTCTCGTGTCGTGCCGCTTTATCGAAGTGGCGCATCGACGCCGACTGCATATACTTACTGGTGGACTCTAAGTCCAGGTCGTCGTGGAGGTCGACATTCCTGACGGAACCACGGGGCTCCGACGGCTAACCTGCAAAAACGGGATTGAATAATTTGGAAGGATTTTAAGTGAGTGCGGGCCGCGTGAGCGAACACTACACTTGCATAGGTCATGACGGGGCGTATGCAAGTTTTGTAGAGTGTCACCTTATTTCTAAGGGACATTTTACTTCGCCTACATATCATCGGGTAGAACAACTAATTACTTTGATTATAATGGTATAAAATAAAATCTTCTTAATCAATGCACGCGATTTTTGGTGCTGGTATCGTATGGTATCATCATGGAACATTTCTGGAGAATATTAGTTAGGCCATTTGTCTCAAATTGCAAAAACATAACAATTTAGTAATAGTCGAAACGATTATAAAGGATTGATATAGACCACATGATGTTTCTATTCGCAAATTTTATTAGCGAAGCGAACATTTTAAGTTTCACTATTGTCATTGTCATAACATTGTTACGGATATTGTTACAGATACTTTAACTGGTGGTAGGACCTCTTGTGAGCCCGTGCGGGTGGGTACCACCGCCCTGCCTATTTCTGCCGTGAAGCAGTAATGCGTTTCGGTTTGAAGGGTGGGGCATTATTTTATTTTTTAACTTAGATGGCTGGACGATCTCACAGCCCACGTGCTGTTAAGTGGTTACCGGAGCCCATAGACATCTACAACGTAAATGCGTCACCCATTTTGAGATATAAGTGCTAAGGTCTCAGTATAGTTACAACGGCTGCCCCATTCTTCACACCGAAAGACATTACTGCTTCACGGCAGAAATAGGCAGGGCGGTGGTACCTACCCGTGTAGACTCACAAGAGGTCCTACCATTAGTTAAAGTATCTGTAACAATATCATGACAATGCAATGTTCACAATTTCACTTTGGTGAAACTGTAAAATTTTTAGTGCCACTGTGTCAGGAATTGCCATTTCTGCTTCGAATTAACTCTATCTTACATAAACCCCTTCGATTATCGTCGATAAGATATTTCGTTCAAAAATGCAGTGACATGTTTCATGACGATGTTTTTGGCTTACATTTTTTTAAAATGAAGTAAATCAGCTCAGTTCACGGCTCATTTGATGTTAAGTGGTGACCGAAAACATCATAACGAGAATGTCTTTACTTGCCTTGGTTCGAGATTATAGTCTGAATTGGGAAATTAGCTAAACTATCCGAAGATGGCGGGGCGTTTGCTCACTCTGTCCTCAAAATCCATTCTCAAGTTATTAATACAACAAAATATAAATTGGGTTAGATAAACTGTCATGTTTATAATGAAAACTGACCTTAAGAAGACTCCATTTCGATAAAGCGGCAAGACACGAGAACCCTCTCATCGTGGCCGCCGGTAAGTACATTCCCGATCCCACGGACTAAATTTTAAACAGTCGACGTCGCCCTAAACACGTCATCTCGGATGCTCCTGATCCATTAACGGTGCTTTTAGGTACCTCAAGCACCGGTCATCGTCCTCGTCGAACTCGTCGCTTGCGACGAAGGGCTCGGCGAGTGAATTAACCCACAGACACAGCCCACTGAGTTTCTCGCCGGATCTTCTCAGTGGGTCGCGTTTCCGATCCTGTGGTAGATTCTGCGAAGCACGGCTATTGCTAGGGTTCGTGTTAGCAACGTCATCAGATTTGAGCCCCGTGAGCTCACCTACTAGCCCGGCGAAGCTGACATGGTATCTCTAGATCATCAGCTTGGGTAGAAAAAAAAAGAAGACAGTATGAGATATCATCAAGTTAGTCAAAGTTAATAAAAAAAAAAATTGCTAAAATGGGTGGACGATTTCACGGTCCACCTAGTGCTAAGCGGTCACCGGAGACCATAGAGATTAACAACCTAAGTGTCGCCACTCATGGTGGCGGTACCTACCCGCGCGGACTCATGAGTAGTCCTATCAGCAGTATATAACGCTTTATTATGGATAACACAAAGACTACTAAAAGGGTCATGAGAAGCTTCAGATATTAATTAAATAAAAGATCATAGCACACATGAATAAAAACACATTAAGAACCTCCTCCTTTTTTGAAGTCAGTTCAATTTAGGGTTGGCTCTTTGGCTTAATTACCCTTGAAAATTGGCCTGGAATATAAACAATAGCAGTAGATGACTAGGCAATCGCCTTTGTTGTTTATTTCTGCAACTTGATTGATTTGGTTGGACATTACAATCAGATTTGGGGTTGAGTGTCACGTTTGGACCTCATGACCTCATGTGGGTCAGGGAGGTGGGGGTTCAGGAGATCAAGAAGGTCGGTCATCAGGCTTATGACTGGTCGACCTAAGCACGCAATAAAAACTGTTAGTACAATAAAAAAGTACCAGGATATGATGAGCTGCTAGGAGGTGTCAAGACGAACAGGACGCCTTGTAAAGTCATCGAAGCACTGCTCTTGCTAGGGCCAGTGTCAGCAAACTCTCTCAAGTTAAGGCCGTAAGCTCACCTACCATTAGCTGGAATAACCCTTTTAACTGGGCCTTTACCTACCTTTTACTGGTAGTAGGATTTCTTTTGAGTCCGCACAGTTAAGTACCATCAACCCTAGGTGGGTTCAGCTGCGAAGCAGTAATGCGTTTCGGTTTGAAGGTTTTAAACTAAGACCTTAGAACTTATATCTCAAGGTCGGTGGCGCATTTACGTTGTAGATGTCTATGGGTTTCAGCAACCACTTAACACCAGGAGGGCCGTAAGCTCGTCCACCCATCTAAGCAATAAAATAAATAAGTACCAGGGTATGATGAGTCGCTAGGAGGTAGGTGTCAAGACGAACAAAACGTCTCATAGATTCAGCGAAGCACTGCACTAGGGCCAGTTCTCTTAGGTTGAGTCCGTGAACTCACCGACCCTTCCGGGCGTAGCTAAAATATAACCTCTTAGACTACCAGCGCATAAGTAGGGGATTACAGTAGAATATTAAAATCATCGGTGGTGCAATTCAAAATATCTCTTCTCCTATGAAAACCGGAGTCGAACTTAAGCCTTATGCCTTTAGTAAATAAAACTTTCTCGTGCTCCTTACGAAAGCTTTAAGCTGTTAAGGACTTTGTAACCAGATACGGATGATATAAGGCAGTGATTGATTTTGATTTAAAACTTATAAATTATGTTTTACGGATAGTCAGATCTTTACGAGTCTAGTATTAGTGAGCACCAGTGAACTATATCATGTTTCAACTAACGTTAAATGGCTATCGGAGTCCATGGACATCGACAGCGTGAATACCGCCATTCACTTGTATTTAATAAGGGTTGTCCAATTTTTCAACCTGTAATCTCTCATTTTTTTTGGTTATTAATGTTTTCAAGCGTAAAAACCATAATTTAATATACAATTTCATTTGGTCTAATGAAAAAAAATAGTTTAAAAAAACTAACAAAATACGCTGTTATAGAAAATATAACTATAAAATAGGAAATAAATTTTAATAAATTTCAATTAAATATAGTGTAAGAAAAATGATTTTATTGGAAAAAAGCGTGGGGTGCTTTTCAGGATATTATCAAAATAACCCTTCTACTAATATCTGTTCATAAAATATTTATAACTACTGATACCATGCACCCCACGCTTTTTTTTACAATAAAATAATTTTTTCTTACACTATTTTTAATTCAAATTTATTAAAAAAAATTTCTATTTTTAGTTGGATTTTCTTTAAAAGCGTATTTTTTATTTATTTTTTAAACTATTACTTATTTTTAATTTTTTAGTTGAATTTGAATATTTTTTTCAGTATATTTTTTTAATATTGATTTCTCATCGGTCCTTAATAAGTACACCAAATTTCGAGTTAATCCGACGTTTTGAAGGGGGTCAAAATCATGTTCAAAGTTGCCGTTACAAACATACATACATACGTCTGAAGCTAATAAAAGCGTATTAAAATCTTCATTTTTGTTCGGCGAACCATTGTGCTTACAGCCTTATAACTAAGTTCTCATGGGCGAGCCAATGTGGGAATTAAGTTTTGTTTGTAATTCAGTCGTTTTCCGACGTTCACGAGGAGAAATCCTGAATGATATCTCGCTGGGATAATGTAGAATTCTTGAAGTTCACACGTCGCGAAAATTTACTAAAAGATACGTGGAGTTATCTTTTTATCGCTTAAAACAGTTTTTTTGTAAGTTTGTGTCTAAGTTGTTGTTAAGTGGCATTGTTTTTTTATTGCTTAAAATGCCGCCACCCAACTTGAGATATAAGTTCTAAGGTCTCAGTATAGTTAAAACGGGTGCCCCGCCCTTCAAACTGAAACGCATTACTGCTTCACGGCAGAAACAGGCAGGGTGTTGGCACCTACCCGTGCAGACTCACAAGAGGACCTACCACCAGTAGCGTTTTCTCCGAAGGCTGCTTTCGAACTTTAGTTTAGATTTTCGTGAGCTCCAAAAGATAGAACGGGGTAAAAGTGAGTGGAGGCTGTGTTCTATAGTGACCAACTTAAGATAAATACCATCTGAATCTATAGGTCACCAAATATCGCCAAATCCTGTCCTGTTTTCTTCTTCAAATACATTTATTTGTAGCTCCTCAATATGATGATTAGTGGTTGGAAGGACTTTGTGACGTCATGCCGGAAGTCGAGGAAACTGGTGGCTCTGATCGTGGCCATCGCGTTACTGTTGGACAACATGCTCTTGACGACGGTTGGTAAGTGAGCTCTGTTCTAGTTATGCGCTCCTATTACTTGATTTGGAATTTATATCATTTATATTTTTATTTTATGAAGGAAAAACATTATTTTAAGTCGGGAAATGTGATTATTAATATATTACTAGCTGACCCGGCAGACTTCGTAGTGCCTCAATCGATAAATAAAAGACCTAAACTTTTGTTTAAGATAAACTTAAAACAAACAAAAGGAATCCCTCCGATGGGGGACACATCAAAGGAAAAACAAAATTGTTATTTTTATTTAATTCCGAATATTTTTATATTTATCTAACCTTTTATACCTTCTCTGGACTTCAACAAATAATTCAAGATCAAAATTAGCCAAATCGGTCAAGCCGTTTTCATGTTATGTCGTGACAACGGAAAACGGGTTTCATTTTTATATATATAGATTTGGATTGTCTTGGAATTTCTGAAATGATAACTTCATATGGGAAAGTAAGCCGTATGTTACGTGACGCGTTACGGCGCCTGTCTGTCTTGCTTCTCTTTCTCTCACGCATACGGCAGCGGTACTGAGAGCGTATGTAACTCCTAAGTATTTATATATCTTTTTCAAGTTACGTTATAACTTTCTTTGCATTATAAATACTTTGTACACATATATATAAAATTTAAGTAATAAACTAGGCTTTTCTCAATTTAAGCAATTTCAATATTAAATAGTTCGACTTAAACTAGTTTGAGTTATTACTTCTGTCGGGCGTCCCGAGAAGCACTGGTTCTTTTTTATTGCGAAGGTGTAAAATATCTATTATTTACAACAAATAATGCTACTTTGTAAGGTTATACATAATTTTCTCGCAAAAGTACCAGGACCACATAGCTAAGAAGGAGACGGCGATTATTAAATTTCTTGTCGCAAACAACGCATTTTCATACCACAAGCTCATTAAATTACATAAAAAATTAGCTTCAGTGTTGCTATTATTAAAATAAAATTATTATTATAAAATGGATATTTTACACCTTCGTAATAAAAAAAACAAAATGTGTGCAATTCACACGTGGTAGAAGTGAAACCTTCCAAAATTAAAATACAATTATCCTAAACGTCTTAAGTATATGTAAAATTTTGTCATTAGTAAATAATTGTAAGGTAGCGCCCTCTGTGAATTGATATTTTAATTTCACGTATAATCCTAAATTAAAATTCACTACAAGAGCTTTCATACACACGTTAGTATTAAAAAATCTCACAGATGGCGCTGTATTAAATAGTATGTATATTTCTGTCTCATTCTTTGCTGGCTTCATCCTACACATTTTTGTATTTGTGTCTCTTACCTGTCGTTTTTTCCGTTGCATCCGGTTTGAAATCACAACGATTCTAAAGAAGTTTTCACTTCAAAAAAAACTATTGCTTCTCGGGACGCTCGACAGAAGTGATAAATAATTTAATTAATATAATTTAATTTAATAATACTATAAAATTGTATTTATATCATTTAATTAGTTTGCAACTTAACATAATAATACGTTGCATACATACAGACGGACACAAAGTAGATTTGTTGAGAAACAAAAAGCAAATCTCACAAACAAATTACCAGGAATACATGAAACTAAAGATTTGATTTTTATTAATAATACAGTGCCTATCATTCCGGAGTTCTTGTACGACATAGAACATCCCGGATCTCCGTTGTCGGTTTCGCTGGATGACGTCACGACTGCAACGCCGAGCCCCACCCCCCACTGCCCCTGTCTGGAAAAGAACGAATTTAAAGTCACCGAGAACAACACGAACAGTGAGTTTTGTTATTGCTTATGAATCATGACGTCCTAGTACATGAAATTTTAAAATCTATTATTTCCACTAGATCAAATTTTGAGTTACTTATTTTTTGTTTGAGGTTTTTGAGGTTCTTTGAGGTCAACGGCTATTTATTTACAAAGTTTAAAATATACAATTTTACTTTTTCCAATTCTTGTTATTTAATAGTATCAAGCCGTATTGTGGGTCTGCACGGGTAGATACCAGTATCCTGCACATCTGGGCCACGAAGCAGACACGTGTTGCCGTCAGGAAGACAGAATAGTTAACTGTTATCGTCCTCATCAAACTCATCGATTACGACGAACGACTCGGCGAGTAAATTAACCCACAGACACAGCCTATTGGGTTTCTCGCCGGATCTTCTCAGCGGGTCGCGATTCCGATCCGGCGATAGATTCTACTAAGCACTGCGCTTTGCTAGGTCCAGTGTTAGCAACATTCCCTCAGGTTGAGCCCGTGAGCGTAGCTAGAATAGCCAACTTAAAATTCCTACGAAATAACCGCGTCGTTAACAGACTTTTTTAAGTTTCTGACGTAACATTTTTATAAAATTTCATGATATTATTGATTGGAATATTTTTGGAGGGAAATTGCGCGTCAATTAGTTATTAACGCGATTATATATTTTTTACAAGTGATTTTAGCTTAAACACATTTAGAACACCAAATTCATAAACACGTTTTAAATTTTTTATTATAGCTCAGATATATTTGAAGTGTGTATATTTTTTATTATATGTAATTAAAAATATTAAAAACATTTTGTGAAAATGTAGTTTTCATTACATAATCTTTTTATTTGATTTAAATTTAATTTACTCATACAAACTGATAGATTTACCATATGAGACGCCACTGTTTCATTATCCCATGTACAAACATTTGAGGCTTTCATGTCTCAAGGTGACCTCATGATGTCTATGGGCCCTGGGAGACACTTACTCTCAAGTTGCGGCGCGAGCTTATCCGTAAAAGCGATAAAAAAAGTTAAATTAGTACCCACATTTTTCGTGAAACTACCAGGATAGCATAAGTAATTAAGAGCCTATTCTTTGTTCAGTTAACCTCACAATGGCACGGGAGCTGCGTCACAACGATCTGGTCCGAGAGTCCTTCCCCGTTGGGGTCATGTTCGCCAGTAAAGCAGTGGTCCAACTATTGACAAACATATTTATTGGCCCGTTGACTCACAGGTATGCATTTTTTGCTTTGATGGGGGGACGAGCTCACAGCCCACTGGTGTTAAGTGGTTACTAGAGCCATAGACATCTACAACGTAAATGCGCCACCCATCTTGAGATATAAGTTCTAAGGTCTCAGTATAACGGCTGCCCCGCCCTTCAAACCGAAACACATTACTGCTTCACGGCAGAAATAGGCGGGCTGGTGGTACCTACCCGTGCGGACTCACAAGAGGTCCTAACCACCCGTAATTACGAAAATTATAATTTTGCGAGTTTGATTTTTACTACGCGATGTTATTACTTCACCGTGGAAGTCAATCGTGAACATTTGTCAAGTAAGTATGTCATTAGATAAATTGGTACCCGCCTGCGGGATTCGAACACCGGTGCATCGCTACACACGAATGCAACGGACGTCTTATCCTTTAGGCCACGACAACTTCAGCATATAAAAATAACCTGAATAATGCATTTTATACATGGTCCAATAGATAAGGCATCGAGTTTCATAACGAGCGATTAAGTATACCCAGGTTCAAATATCACAACCGGGACCTTTTTTTTAAATATACAACAGCCGTGATAAAATATAAATGAAATTTCGACAGCTTTCACTTTGTGTTGTCCATGGACTCCCTTGAACACTAAACAGCGAAATGGCTGAGATTCGTTCACTCAAACAAAAGAGAAAACTATATTAAGATTAATTATGAAAAATATTATATCTTCTAGTAGTTGACAAACATATTTATTGGCCCGTTGACTCATAGGTATGCATTTTTTTATTGCTTACATGGGTGGACGAGCTCACAGCTCACCCGGTGTTAAGTGGTTACTGGAGCCCATAGACATCCACAACGTAAATGCGCCACCCAAAATTTCGCATTATAGTATGTATGAACTTGTAATAAATACTTTTTGGCTATACTATTTGTATCTGGCTGGTTTTGGTATCATTAAAAGTTTAAATAAGATAATTCCAAATTAAATTTAGGAAAATGTGTGATTTTTATTTATTTTTCGTACTGTTAAGATGAGAGAATCTAATGAAGAAATTCGATACATTTTAAAATTTTATTACAAAAAAGGTAAAAATGTTGTGAATTTTCTTAAAAAATGCGAAGAAACTTTTTCCCCGACCTATTTACATACAAATATAATATATATGTTTAATATAATGTTTGTTTGTCTAGAATCGGTTATGGAGTGCCAATGTTCATTGGATTCGTGATTCTATTCATATCAACTATAAGTAAGTACTTGAGTTTGTCTAAGCATTACCTAAAATCTAATATTTAATTCTTATATACTTTGCTTTTTACATTTTTTTAACACAATTTTATGAGCTTAGTATGTTTGTATGTGAGGGCATCTTTGAACGTAATTTTCGTCGACCTTGAGACGTCCTATCAACTGGACAGCTCGTGCAAGCCTCAAGGACCAATGACGACCCAATAATTCCACAACTTCAGATTGAACAAAAACATGCTAAAAGTTTTTAAGCTTCATTTGCGTCGGGTAATTTTCAGGATATTATCAAAATAACCCTTCTACTCATATCTGTTCATAAAATATTTATAACTTCCGATACCGTGCACCCCACGCTTTTTTTATTACAATAAAATTATTTTTTCTTACATTATTTTTAATTCAAATTTATTAAAATTTATTTTCTATTTTTTAGTTCGATTTTCTATAAAAGCGTATTTTTTTAGTTTTTTTAAACTATTATTTATTTTTCATTTTTTAGTTGAATTTCAATATTTTCAATATTTTTTTAAATATTGAATTGTCATCGGCCCTTAATAAGTACACCAAATTTCGAGTTAATCCGACGTTTTGAAGGGGGTCAAAATCATGTTCAAAGATTCCGTTACATACTAACATACATACGTCTGAAGCTAATAAAAGCGTATATTAAAAGAGAAAGAAAATGTATGCTCCTATCTCTCTCTCTCTCTCTCCCCTACACGAAAAATAACTCTTTCTCTTTCTATTTTCACTAATTTATATCTCCCTCTCAATTTCCATTCGCCTCGCCCGATCACACCTTTCGTAACGTTCTTGTCATGCATCCACCAGCTTACTATCCAAGTCAAACGTGCGTCGATAATCCCATTCTCACGGATCGTTTGGAACTTCTGGGCCTGCGGAAGCAATTCGGTTCCCTCTGTATTTTGTACCGTATGTTCCATGAGGAGTGCTTTTAGGAATTGTTTGAGATGATCCCCTCATCTCCTTTTTACCATCGCACCTCCCGCCATCGGAGCTGAGTTCATCCAGATCATCTGGAACCGCTGCGTTCATCCACAGTGCGTTTCCAGAGATCTTTCTTGCCACGTACCATCCGGCTTTGGAATGAGCTCCCTCCACGGTGTTTCCCGAGCGCTATAACATGTCCTTCCTTAAAAGAGGCTTGTGGAAAGTATTAAGCGCTAGGCAGCGGCTTGGCTCTGCCCCTGGCATTGCTGGAGTCCATGGGCGACGGTAACCACTTGCCATCAGGTGGGCCGTATGCTCGTCTGCCTACACGGGCAATAAAAAAAAGCATAAAGAAGTTTTACTTTAAAATTTTGTTTGTTTTTCAGTATTCGCCTTCGGTCATTCATACGGAGTGCTATTCATGGCTCGTGCGCTCCAAGGCGTGGGTTCGTCCTGTTCCTCTGTATCCGGGATGGGAATGCTCGCCGAACGATATCCAGACGACAAGGTAACGTTATACCCGCCACTGCAATCACTTGTTTCCACCAATCCTTCAAAACGATGCCTGTCTGATCTATATATTTATTGATACGTGAAGCAAAAACTTGGTACACACCCCTTATTACGAAAATTGCGCGGACGGAGGAGTATGAAATTTCCCACACTTATAGAGAATATGCTGAATGTTAATTATTCTTTTTAATTAAGCATAAAAAGAAAATACATTAATTCTTCTCTGGCAACATTTACTGTCGCCGCTTCCTTATAGACTTTTTGGCGGGAACGCGTGGAGTAAAGTTGTGTGATATGTTTTATTTTATCCATTTAGTGTTTGTTCAGGTTTAAATGTGTAATAATGGTGGTTTATTATCTTTATAATCTCTGTCAAAGTTCACATATATGGGAAAATGAAACAAACCAACAAGTCCATTGAAATAATCCCAGTAAATGAACACCATTTTACTGAGATTATATTTCATCCCATATAATCTCATCTCATTTCATTTAATTTCACCTTAGTTGATTAATGTCTCAAATTAATCATCTTCATTTCATTTAATATCATCATATTCCTTAAAAATAAGATTAAGAATTAAAATAAAACTTGACCTAAAGGTCTTAGTTACCAGGTCATAAAATCCCTTAAAAAAACTCTTGAAGATTTTGGCAGGAACACGACGACTGGAGTTGTATTATTTGTTTTTTATTGTTAATTTAGCGTCTCTTCAGAGTCACATGTTAATGTTGGCTTATTGACCGTTTGCGTTTAGTAATAGCGTTAAAGCGCTCAAGTGTGTTGTGATGAGACAAAGTCGTCGGACCTGGCTTGTCGGGTTCCTCCGAAAACTCCACTGAAGTCTCAGTAAGAAATAACCACCATTTTACTGAGACTATATTTCATCTCATTCCATCTAGGTTTATTTAATTTCATCCCAATTGATTAAAGTATCAAATTAATCAACTCCGTTTCTTTTTCATTTAATATAGTTTAAAGATCTTTATGAACTCGACACAGGCAACAATGGCGTCGCAAGAACAAAATTGCCATACTAAAAAAAAAACTTATTGGAATGTGATATAACAAAATAGCCAATTCGGTTAAACTGTTGTCAGATAGATTTGATTTTTTTTCCCTATCTAAGCGGATATCAATACGCGAAAGCCGACACCTTTTTTTTTTTTTTTTTTTTCCGGGCCGAGGGCCGAACCTCCTACGAGGTCCCCGCGCCTAGGGGGCGCGCGGGGTATGTGAGACTCAACGATCTGCAGGTGTTGAGAGCAGACCGCGGGCCCAAGGAATTTAAGGCCCACCCACTAAACGACTCCCCTGCACTCTTACACCCGGCGTCCGATCTCCGTCCGGGGTCAAAACCCGGTCAGAGTAGGGGGGTTCCCGCGGTCAACACTACAACCAGACACGCGGCGCCACCCCGAGGACGCCCGACCGACGGGTCGTCGAGGCGATAGTCGACGACCAACGAC